TGACCTACAATGTTGAAACTCTGTAGTGAGGTAAGAATCACATATGAATATGAAACTCACCTTGCAGTTTGCATGAAGGGGTAGACTGCCAAATTTGACAACCAAAAGCGTAGATACGGTTACGGAAAGGAAACTTGCAACTACGTGAGAACATAACACCGAAAAAAACCCAGAATTCGTAAGTACAACATTTCATGATGAACAATTCATATGCTTCTAGACCTCAAGAATTCATCTCAAAAGATTTATGTTTCTTCGACGTAAATTAATGAAATGGTGTATCTGCCAATTACCTCAGGATTTCTCCGTCAAGCAAGCGGAGGAATGCATAATTTGTAGTTTTTTACATAATGAAGCATTGTTTTGAGTGGAGCGATAAGCAGTGTTGTAGTAAAAACTACAAACATGCATAGGATTGTAGGACACAAAACAAAAGACTTTACTTGTTTTCAAGATAATTCCAGGCTTTATGTGATAAGCAGTTCTGGTCATACGTGTTATGAGTCCCATTTGCAAAAGAAAACACATTACAGCGAGGTGGAGAAATATGTGTTAGCAATAGGATCCACTCTGCGCGGACAGCTGGTAGAAATCTGTGATGTCTTTAACGCGTGGAGCTGCGTGGTCTACTGCAAATGTCCGCGCGAGACGAAGCGACATATAGTACCGAACCATTTCAGCGCTTGCCAAGTTTTCGATAATATATTAGGTTGGCTCGAAAGTTCTTGCGTAGTTCAAACAAAATTCAATAACTTTTCAATGACTAAACCTAAATTCACAATCTTGTTCTCTAAAAATATTAGAGGGCCTGCGCTCCATGATGGATGTTTAAAGGCACCGTCCACCCAAAATGGGGGTTGGCGAGATTATGATGGCATACTAGTGTGGGCCCCCATACTAGACAGACCCCCAAGTTTCGCCGCAAAAGACTGCTTCTGAAGCGAGAAATCCGCTCCGGAAGTAACAAAGTGGGCGGGGCGCCCTCGGCGGTCCACCCAACTCGAATTCAATGTTTTTGTCGCCTTCAGGCTTTCTGAAAGCCCTGATTCCGAATATGGAGTCGAAAATTCGCGAAACCCTCAAAAATCCCTGTTTCGAGAACCCTCTGCAACAAGTGCAGGCGAGATAAAGCATGCAAGTGGGCGGGGCGACCGGGGGCGCCCGCCCACTTTTGTTACTTCCGGAGCGGATTTCTCGCTTCAGAAGCAGTCTTTTGCGGCGAAACTTGGGGGTTTGTCTAGTATGGGGGCCCACACTAGCACGCCATCATAATCTCGCCAACCTTTATTTTGGGTGGACGGTGCCTTTAAGCGCAAGATTTCATGAGCTAGCACCCGAGAACGAAGCTCTCAAATATGGGACTTCAAAATTTGCAATTTTGAGTTTGGTGCCAGAAAATCGCAGAGTGCATCTAGCTAGCCGAAAAAAATCTGTAAAAATTACTTACACTGCAGAAGTCCATAAGTTACTTTGGAGGGCTTTGATCTTGCACGGTGAAGCAAAAACAAAAAATTCGCGAAATAGTAATTTTGCGGAAAAAATCCACTCATTACCGCTGTTTTTCAGCAAAAACAATTTTTTACGCTCAAAAAAAAAACGTCGCAAGGTTCTAAATAGCCAATATGTCTTATTTCTGGTTGCAAACTGTGTTTTTGTGGAAAAATTACATCGATAAGGGGATTTACTCTGTAAAATGACAAATTCTACAAATTTTTTGTGTTCGCATTTCCATGCGAGATTAAAGCCTGCTAAAATAACTTATGGACTTCTGCAGTGTAAGTAATTTTTAGAGATTTTTTTTTCGGCTAGCTAGCGGCACTCTGCGTTTTTCTGGCACCAAACTCAAAATTGCAAATTTTGAAGTCCCATATTTGAGAGCTTCGTTCTCGGGGGCTAGCTCATGAAATCTTGCGCTTAAACATCCATCATGGAGCGCAGACCCTCTAATATTTTTAGAGAACAAGATTGTGAATTTAGATTTAGTCGTTGAAAAGTTATTGAATTTTGTTTGAATTACGCAAGAACTTTCGAGCCAACCTAATATTAGGTTGGTGCAAAAGTTTTGTCAGTTTTTTCAATCCATCGGCAAACACGCTAGAATAAAGATAAACAGTCGCTTCAAGATGTATCCGATATAGAATATCCTCTTCTTTCCTTTGGCTAAACTCCCATTGTGATTCGTTGAGAGAGTGATAAGATATTCGCTGGAAATTGTAACCATTCGTTTTTACTATGTCCATATTTCACTAATTTTCAAAATTTTTGTATGAGACTTTTGGAGGGGCACTAATAACCATCAGATAGTGCAAGCCTTTTGCCAACTTACGTAATTTTTTCTTCTTTTCAGCTGCTTTTTCAGATTTTTGCTAAATAATTTTCTAAAGGTCTTGTGTTTTGGAAAATCGCATAAACTGTTATTGCACCAAACACTGCAAAACCTGCAGAATACTGAGGTTTCAACACTCGATTATTACTACCGCTACCACTACAAAGTAAATGAGCGATTTTCGCTTCAAATTATGAAGATTTTGAAACATAGGTTACGTCAGTGCGCACTCCTGGAATTGAGAAATACTGCGGTTTTCTTCACAAATTTCGCCTGTCTCAGCAAGAAAAGCAAGTGTTAGAAGGAGGAGAAAAAGCTGCATCGAATGGTGACTGAAGTGTTTAACGTTTTATGTTCTACGAGGTTAAAATAGGCTGAATGTAAAATTTGGGTACTTCAAAAAATGAATCGTAGAAATTCTGAAAGACAAGCCATAGGGCTACAGAAAATTGCCTTTGTTGGCAAAAGGTTTGCACTATCTGATGGTTATTAGGGCTCCTTCTCATCACATTCTCATCGAAACACAATGAGAGTTTAGCCACTGGAAAGAGGAAAAAATCCTGCATCGGATACATTTGAAGTGATTGTTTATCTTCATTCTAGCGTGTTTGCCGATGGATTGAAAAAAACTGACAAAACTTTTGCACCGACCTAATACATGGTGTCCCAAATCATCTATAGAGCTTTGGATTTGTGATAATCTCTGCAATAACCCTCTTGTATGAAAAGCTTTCGCCTTTCAAGTTCCATATTTGAGGTTGAAATTGGGTTCACAGTATGTAGCAAACCACCTTCCGTTCTCGCTGTAAGATTACGGTAGATACTCTAAAGACGCTTTTTGAGCCATTGAGGACCCTATCCGCCTCAAAAAGTAATCAACGAATTATGAACTTTTGCACTGAGCCAGTCAAGGCCGCTGATCCTTGATATGAACTTTGCACTTTACCGCTATGTTTTGTTAAGATGCCAAGTAGCCGCAGTACCGCAGTAGCTGTGTTTACAAAGGTTTCTAGTTGATTACATCATCTGGAAAGTTTTACAGACTCGCAAAAAGTTTAGCAATGAAATCAGCCTGGGTGGGAACCTTTTTACAACCCTCCAGATTTTTTGAATATTTCGAAACTGATAATAGTATCACACAGTATATCACATTACCACAGTATTATCACATCCACCATATAAGCTAAAAGTTTCTAGTGCAATCCTATAATAATGAGGAGCGATCAATGATTCGCTCTATACTCTACATTATGGTGTTTGAAGAAAGATTAAAGGTTTTCGTACAATAAATTTTTGAGATCTTGGAATACTCTATATCAGACTTCGAAGCGCGAAGAGAGTATATCTGATACTGTTGTATCAGACACTCATTTGATTCTTTTGTTGACAGGCATTTTGCACAAATGCATATATGTAGGTCTGTACGTATGTTTCAAGTAGAGTTTCTTATTTGTGAGCCAACCTGGCTCAAACTTTGCACCCATACACTTCGGGGCAGAACGCTTGTCATAGGCTACTTTTCATTATCGGTCGATATCGATTTTATCGACTTTTTGCAGAGTTTGAGTTGTGGGGAGTTCTTTAAAGGCCTAAAAATGCTAATTTGAGAACTGCTTTCCACATCTGCCGAGGGACACTACAAGGATTCATGAGATTAACATCAAATTAAGATTAACCTTTGATTCAACTGGCTTGGCTCCGTTAGGGCGGGGTTTTGTGATCTAATTGAGGCCGCTCGCGCCCGCGACGCACCTGCGTCTCTCTCGTGCGAGTGCTCTCTGATCATCACCTAGCCTTAATTAGGTCACGAAGCCTTCTGCCGAAGCCAAGCCAGTTAAATCAAATGGTACTAGTAGTGCTCACTAGATATCAGCTAAATGTCCAGACTCTGCAGTAAGGCACCCGCCATACTTACCCCTCTTGATCCGCTTGATCCGCTTGCTCCGCTTGCTCCGCTTGCTGCGCTTCCTGCAGGACGCGTGCAAAACACGCGCACACAGCAGTCTGTCATTTGGCGCCGCGTACGCCGAAATTGCACCTGCGGCCAGCGATAGATTCTCACAGAACACGAGCTTTTTCCCAACTTGTTCATGTGTAAGCGGCTTCCATCGCTACGTAACTTCGTGTTTACATGCGTGTTTTGCTACTACTAAGTGTTTGTGTCAAATCTTCGTGGCGCATGTTTTATCATGCAACTTTTACAACATAATATTTTTCCGTCTGTAGAGAGTATGTTTTCATTTCTAAAATTGTGAGGTAACATTGCTTCAGGTTGGTTCTGCACCACCAAAGTCCGGACTAGATGTTCATTGCCGGTATTACATGGTCTGTGTTTTCCCATTAGGCCTCAGTAGTCTGTGTGGTTCTTCATCTTTCTCATTGGTTACTGCGCGCATTCGGAATATTTGTCAGTTAATCGAGTGTTCTTCGCTATATATCGCTGTTTGGACTCTCCAAACTCTTACTTGCAGTCCTAAGTTTACCAGCTTTTTCTTCGTTTTTGTTCAGATTGCTGTTATTCTCGATTTATGATTTTCTCATGAAGTGTTCGTCTAAGAACGATGCGCGTACTACTTGGAGGAGACACATTGTGAGTTTTTCGCACTCACGCTATGCTTACATTTAGAAAAAATCCATTTTAAATGTGTCAAATTGTCTTATAGTCTCTTGGTAAATGATTATCATCTTCTTCTTCAGCTTCAACAAATGTACTGTTACTAAAGGTGAGTACCCACGCATGGTGTCATTTTTGTATACGTTATGATGTGACCTGATCTGCAGGACATGGTCATCGATGCAGTGCGAATCTTAATACTACGAGGAAGGCAGTATGTTGGGCGGCTGTGAAATAATTGTGAACTTGTTGTGAAATCTTTGCGAAATAAATGATTGTGTAATGATGATTGCGGACAGTAGCGTCAAGTCATATCAGCAACATGAAACGACTAAAGCTCTATAATTTGGGTGAACTAGCAGCTGTCAGCTGGCAGCTGCTTTTTGTCTTAGTACAGCTGCATACTGTTCTGTCTTCTAACTACCACTTGCAAAACGCTAATGTTTAAGATTTTCCCCTGCTGCCGAGTTTTATCTTGTTTTCATATCGTTACATCGCTGCTGCGCTGAACATCTCTGCGGCTGCACGAAGAAATTCTTTTCTCACAGGTAAACTCATCACATTGTTCGTGGTGCTCTCCTGAATACGATGTCACTGCGCATATGTTCTTAGCATTACCTATCTTTTGGCATTCGATGCTCAAGCTTTCTTTTCTAAGCGAAATGAGCAGTGTGAAAGTTACTGGGACAGTAGCCTTTTCTACGCCGCATTTACATGTTAATTCTTTGCCGGTGCTTGATATTATTGGCTAAAAATGAAATGCTGTCAGTCATCAATACATAGTACTAAATCTGTAAACAAAGTCATGTTGTCTCATTGTAACGTTCTTCCAGCCAAGCGCGGTGTTGGAAGTGCTCCCAGTGAGTATGTTCTTTTAACGCTATAATAATTCGCGCAAGGAGATGTCGTCATTTACAAGCTACTTGGAGACGGTGTCTCGCCAAAATTATGTGGTGTCTTTACTCAAACTTTGGCAGCCAATAGTTGTCAGAGCGCGCGACCATTCCGCCAGTTCTCTGTGTCATGCTAGTTTTTAACGTTCTCTAGAGTTGCAAAGCACAGTTTTGAACTCAGCACTTTCAAATGCACATCTTCGCGCTTAGAAGGTCCACATTAAAAAGCAGGCCTCCAGGTAGTTTTCTCGGTTGTACCAAAATTTAATGCCGTACGGAGGCGAAGATTGAGAGATGCGCGATTTCTCAGACGCCACATAAGGCGCAGTGCACTTGTAGTGGCTATTAGTTGTTGCGCCATGTTCCGCATGCCTGAATGAGGGAAGGATACATAATGGTCGCAGCAGCTTAGAAGTTCACTTTAGGCGCGGGACAGACTTCACGCGATTTGATTGTCGCGGCTCAATAGCCGACATTTCCATTCATTTTCATTTCACTATCAAAAATTTCGGGCTGGAACAGTATCATAACCGAAATGCGAGTCGATCGACATGGAATGATGTTGTAACAGTTATCTCGTCGCGATTCAGTTGCGACCATCAAATCGCGTGAAGTCTGTACGGGGCCTTACAGAGCATCTCTAAAATCTTTCTGGAAAGCTTTTTAGGTGAGAATAATAAAAAAATCCTTTGATAATTGTGAAACTATCGCCTTTCAATACTTGTTACTATCTCAAAGCTTCAACTAAACAGCATTTAGGGTGCCACTTGTCGTGTCCTATAAATTTCACTAAGTGTTGTTCTGCGATGAGACCTGTCTTTGCAGGAATGAGCTATCAAGAGTGGCGTGACGTTCTCGTTGCACTTGTCGAGCTCGACGATGCCATTACAAATGCGGTGCAGAGACCATACTATCGGAGCGAATACGTGCGCAGAGAACACGCACCGTTCCTCGAAACTCGATTTCGTCTTTATGACGAATATCTTGCCGCGCAGAGGCCTGCCGCATTCATGCAGTCTGTAAGGGTACTCCCAAACGAATTCTAAGATCTGCATCAATGCTTAGCAGCGAAGCTCATGCATTCGCGAACGCATGCCGGGTCCATCCAAGGCCGTCAAAGGCTAATGATTTTTTTGAGGTATAAACAGGCAGCGATTGCAGGTTCCAGATTCGTTGCCATTGGTGGGACGTTTTCAGTCTTTGCACTGGACGCCTCTTGTGGGAGGGAGACAATTTCAGTAATCGTGGCCGAAGTTACAAAGGCGATTATAAGCGGTAAAAATTCTTTGAGAACAGATAATGCCAACTTCTATAAAGGTGCATGGGGAATTTTCATTTTATAGAACCACATGACATTGCATTCCCTACCGTGACCAGAGAAAAACTTGAAGAAGTAGCGCGCGTCACGCAGGCCCGCTGGGATTACCCAAGAGCCTGCGGTTTCATGGACGGAAAACACATTAGGATCGAGGTGACTGATCAAGGGGATGAACCGTGAGTATCAATGAATTTAAGAAACCGGAGCACTCTGGAAGTGCATACTGGAACTATAAAAACTTTTATTCAATCGTCTTACTCGCCGTTTGTGACCATGATTACCGCGTGCTACTTTACGATGTGGGTTCCGCTGGTCGTGCAGGAGACGCAGCCGTCTATCGAAGTTCATGGATAAAGGTGGTCGAATCAATGTTATGACAAATGTAGTACTTGAAAATGGTGCTTCAGCAGTTTTTGGACGCCAATGATCAAGTGTTTCCGCCCACGAAGGATCTTGGACAAGTGGGACCTGTCCAGTACCACATCCTCGTTGACGGAGGATTCGGACAAAGTCTGCGATTTGTGCGTCCTTACAGAGATGCCGAAGCCGATACCCCGGAGAAAAGGCGGTTCAATGAAAAGCATAGCAGGTTGCTATGCTTAATACACCATCCTCTTATTTCAAGGCTTTCAGCGCACGACGAATGATCGAGTCCACATTCGGTATATTAGCCCGAAGGTTTCAAATTTTAATGCATCCAATGCAAGTGATTCCGTCCACAGCAGGACGCATAATCAAGGCGCTGCTGGTTAGCTCAATCCTTGCACATACTACGTGTATTCTAGTTATGTGTTATAGGTATTGCACAACCTTTTGCCAAGAAGACAAGACTTTTTGCAAGGTGTTCGTCGATTTGCGCCAGACGAGAGCACACTACATTCAGTTGAACGAACTAGGACCGGGAGTGCTGCTGCAGCTAAAGCGGCTAGAGAAAGAATTACTTTGTACTATACGCAGAAATATGGCCCAGCACGCGAATGATCATCATACGGAAAGTAACTATTGTTTTCGCACACTATCACTACGCTATTTTGTCTTCCGAATAAACGTGAATCACCTCCCCAAGTAACTTGTTACCTTTCGGTATCTGGGCTACAGATGCATTCCTAACAAGGGAAGGATACTAACTTAGATTCGCCTTCTGAAATGGGACACATATATTTGAAATCAGCTTGGAACGGTGATTCCGGATATGCCGTTCCTAGCTGCTTAGCCATATAGTTATGGTCACTTTTATGCAAAGTTTGCGTGCTTCTCGACCTAATGATGCTACGCTGTAGAAGTCTAGGTGGTTTTGCAATTGTATAATGCTCCCTTTCAAGATCGAAAAAATCAATCTGATCCTAGCTCAACATCCTAGCACTTTTTTCGAGTAAATTCTTGTGTACATGTACACGCCATCTTACGACATTCAGAAGTTTATTCATTAATCACAGCATCAAGCCCATAACTCGCTCCGGAATAAAGCTAAGCAGCTAGGAACAACATATTTGGAATCAGCGTTCAAAGCTGATTCCAAATATGTGTCTTTCATCTCAAAAGGCGAATCTAAGTTGGTATCCTTACCTTATAAATCTTAGGACATACAGCGCAACCAGTATTCATCACAACTGAAAAGAGAAGACTTTAGGGAGCAATTTTTGTTGGACGCCAAATGAATGCAAAAATTGGATAAATCAATAGGTTGTCGAGAGGCTGTCGGCTGATCTGTGCTTTTATGGAAAGGTTAAATCATTTGAACGTTTGGTGGCGGTTTGCGCGTGCGACTTACAGTAAAACTGCTTCACACAAGCTCAATAAAAACTGCAATAATGGCAAAAAACACGCACTTCGTATTTTCACATCATCAAACGCTATCCAACTTCAAAAAAAGGTACCTGCAAATGAACAAAAATAACGCGTACAAAAACCTTCACTCGTTTCAATAATTGAGGTAAAAGCAGAAAAAAACTAAATAACTGAGGTAAAAAGCAGAAAAAAAATTAAATAACTGAGGTAAAAAGCAGGAAAAAAAAACTAAGTCTTCTATCAACAATGTGAGTAAAATGCAAATAGTGTTGAAAATGCACATCATCGAGTGGAATGTTATGCAAGTAAAGAATACAAAGTATGGAACAACTAACGATTTGAATGCTGGTAAGCTGACGCTGCACTATAGCAGTGGTCGAGATTTTCGCTTATGTTGACGTTCGCAAATATGGCCATTATGTGTAAGACCTTGAGGTCTGCTTCTTCATCGGAAAGACGACGCAATGACGATTCCACGTATCTACCTAAACACAGCCACTAATATAGTTAGACAAGAAGAGGAGACCAACCGATGTGGGTATATCTGTCTTCAACATGTATGCTATCTAGTTTCGTCATCACTGCATCAGCCGCTACTCGAACGGCGCTCCCCTCTGGAAAAGCAATGGCTTAGGGGAAAAACACTGCACCAACTACCTTGTAACATGTACCAAAACACGTACCGTCATCTGACAACTTTCTTTTTCGCCTTTGGGAAGAGAGTGAAGAAATACTGTTGCTCAAATCGCCTAGCACCGGGACTGATGGGACCTTCGACGCTAAAATCTTACTTTTCTATTGTGAAATTTTGCGCGAATTATACACCTACTCGATGGCTGGAATTCTGCCGAGTCCATATCGAGCTCGCGGTCGAAATTTGTATATCTGCTAAAAAGACTTGCATATTATACGAATTTCCATTTCCGAACAGAGCTCACCTTTCGGTAGGAATTGCTATATTTTGGAGAAACGTCATATTTTTCATGAATTCTACGGTCTTCGCTGAAGAGCCGCTCGTTTTCCCACTGGTTACTCTGAAGAACTTCGACCGTAGGAACTTCCACATGTCCTGGAGTTCCTTGACTAAAAAGAGCGACTTCAGCGATGCACAATTTGAGGCACATTTGGCCACGCCATACTTCATCCACTTGATCCGCTTCATTCACTTCGCTACTGGTCAAATCAATGAACTGACCAGTAGCGAAGCGAATGAAGTGAATGGAGTAGGTGAAGTCTGGAGCGTGCCTAATGAGGCTGTGTCCATAATTGTCCTTGTAATGAAGTGCATTTCCGGCATTGACCTCCGAGAGAATCTGCCTCCGACCGCAACATCAACCACTGCGCCCCCACCTTCCCTTCTTCTGTGTTTCCGATGGAGATCGCGCCAGGACTACTGGGATTCTATACGCTTTTTTCAATCTAACCCTGTGCCAAGCGCAGTGACTCGGCAATATTGTGGCTCCGTGTTTTCCAACATAATTGCGAATCTGCCGAGCCACTGCCCTTGAGATGCACGCAGTCGCGGGCGATTTTAAAGAAGATTCGTGTCGGTGTGGACATTCGGACATTGGATGCGGCTTCGGGTTGTTTCATACTGCCGCACTGACTACAGCAGACCGACTGACCGCTCGTCGATGTCGTTCTTTGTTTTATGCTGCGACCACTGCAGTCTCCTGCAGTCCGCTGCGGCACTATGAAAAAACCCTTCGCACTCACTGGTCCTATTATAACCGTGCTTTTTCATCCTTGCTTCGATTCTATCCCACGCCTCCAACCTCAGAGTCTTGCTTAGATAAGCGTCAGATGACGTGTCCCAAATAACACGTTCCTCCTCAATACACAAACAAAGGTAAGCTTGTTCCGCCTGATCCATCGTCTGAAGCAAAAAGCAAATATTATCTTGAACAGGGCCCTGCAGATGTGAGAGCATTTCAATCTCAACGGATTACTATAACAGTCCCTCATTCGAGCCACAAGCCGCACAGCCACTCCTCAATTCAGGACAAGGCCCAGAAGAACAGCTCATTGTCCGAATCCTATCTGTTCGCTGCTTTTGGAAAAAAATCAAAACGAACAGATAAAGGCTGCTGCATGACGAAGGCGCATTACCTTTGGGCGCTCTATTAGCCACAGAGCGCATGAGGCACAGGATTTACAACGGTGAGGGTACGTGCGCGCCGCGTTCGCGCCCGCTCAACTAATGGCGCTTCTGCGCCTTAGTCATGCAGCAGCCTTTAGCTGCTGTTGCTGGCTTGCTTCATACCCGGTAAAAAATGCAAAATAATCGTAATCTAAAACCGGAAAGGTAAGCCTTTGCTGCCCTGTTTTACACATACTCTGATAATCGCCGGGAGCAGGCGGCCATGCAAATTTTGAGCAAGCGGGCACCGGGAAAATAGTTCGCTAATTTTTTGCGGTCCGCTTGCAGAAATCTGAGGTGAATTCGGCCAATTTTTGGACGAATTCTTGGAGAACTATCGCGGCCCTTCTATGGATAAGTTGCGGCCAAGTGGCCGCATTTTCGCGAACTTTCCGCGAGAATATGTGAAATATGGAGGGCCGCACCTCCTTTGTGAAGGACCGCACAGCCCCATAGGTACCTTCCGCTTAGAGAAGGTAATTCAAACTCGGGTAATCAACATCGGTGACACCTCTGCCACATAGTTCATCTTTGCTCGGCGTACGCACAAAACTGCGCAAAAAGAGCCCGAGCGCTTGCTGAAGGAAATTATATGTCGAGCGCTTGTAGAAAATGCTGTATTGCTGCCCGCTGGGAATACGCGACCGTAAAGCAGATGCCGCCCGCTGAAGGTTTGTGCAAGCCCCAAAATTCTGCTGACCGCTTGCAGAAAAGCGCGAGTTTGCGGACCGCCTGGCCCCGGCGATTATCTGAGTAGTCCACGGCCGCATAAGATACAGCCTCTCCCAAATGAGACCAGGACGAGACGTTGGCTTATAATTTTTGTAAAGCTGTAAACACATGAAGCACATGATGGTGACGCGCAACACTGACCTGGTTGGGACAGACTGTATATGCTTTTTGAAAAAAGCCAAACTTACTCGTTGAAAGAAAAGCAGCAATGCTCCAACGTCAGCGACTATGAGTGGCTGGAGTGATTTCGATACAGCCTGCCTGAAAAATGCTTTTGTTTGAAGACTCTCTAAAGACGTCAAGATGTACACAATTCAAGTGTTGAAAAGGAAGGCAATCATACGTGAAAAGAGAATATATCCACAACTAACAACAACTGAAAAGTTAGCTTACACAAGCAAATGGACTCTGGGAAAACCGGGTGAAGAGAGGAATTAATTCCAGTATGATGCTTGGCGAAGCCGAAAACAACAAACGTTAGCATCATTCGCTTTGATCGTTTGTTAGTGTGAGTAGACGAGATCGATAAAGTTAAGGGAACTTGAAAGTAATCATAATTGTTAGTAGTGATATCTTACAATTAGTCACTCTTTACACACTGACGAACTGTAATCAAGCAGATCAAACTCAAAGCAATCGAACAGAACCAATGACGAGTTAGAAATGGGCCGAAAATAGAAACAAAGTATAAACGGCGTCTGACTATCGTCTGAATCCTCTAGAGCAGCCCTCAAAACCACCTCAGTCATCATGATGCAAAGGTTTATCTTGTTAGCGTGACAATTCTCTATCCGATATTTTTCTTACAAAGACATATTTCGGTCTTCACAGAAGGAAAAATGTTCTGTAAAATGCTGCAAGATAAAACATGCGCCATGATGACGACTTGACACAAATACTGAATAGTAGCAAAATACGCATGTAAACACGAAGTTACATAGCGATGGAAGCCGCTTACACATGAACAAGTTGGGAAAAAGCTCGTGTTCTGTGAGAATCTATTATCGAGAAGAACTTGAATACTGCGAAATGGCCGTTGTCATTGGAGCGCGTTTTCATCTCAGAACTTAGCGCTGTGCTCCATTTTCGTAACATGTGTTCTTTTCTTGCTTGAATCGTGGACCTTTCCTCTTTTAGATGTTCTGTACTGTCTCGGTTTTGCTCGTTATTTGTCATTCTGTGATTGTTTCATATTGTTCACCTTCCAGAGTGCAATTCTTGTGGAAAAATGTCCGGTGGAAGCGGTGTTCCTCTGTCGGATCGGCTAAACGTGGAAAAAAACAAGCTGGACGAGAGCATCAGAGACTACCGGTATGTTAATTTGCCTTTTTGTCGAAAAAGTGGCAAGATATGACCAGTTCTTGGCGCTGTTGCTCAGTCTATCGGGAGTGTTGACCATGCTGGTCGAAACATTATGCTTTAAAAATGTCATTGGGTGTTTACGATGGTGTACGATGAGAGGCACAATTAGGAGTTTGTGTTTTCGACTCTCTTTTACATCACCTGACCACCATTCTCACACGCTAGACTTATGTGATGATGTATGTGATTCAGAGTTCACTTCTTGTGAGAAAGCAATAGTAATTCAAGATAAAAAATGAAGTGAAGAAATTGGCCGAATTGAGGGAAAAAGCTATTAAAAGTGCCGCAGATTTCAACAGAGAGTTGCAGACAGTGAAAAAGTATGAACGGCAACACTATTGGGACGTACAAACCTCGGTAATGGCTAAATTTTTTGAAGGGACGGGAGGCAAGAATTGGCCGAAATTTTTTTTCGGATTATTCAGTCAAGTGCCAACAAATGGAAGAAGTTGCCAGCAAAATACACAAAGCCTGATCCGTATCCCGTGGCTCTAATCCATGGGCAATATCAAAACTACTACAGGAAGTATGTCGTTCAGCCGTCTTTTACAAGCTTTTTTCACTGCGAGATGAACTATGCAAATCAAATTATATATGTGACCGTAATTTTTCGTCTTTCGTTGCATGCATCTTCTTTTTGAATTCAAGATTTACTGCTTCGAAATTGCGACGTTTACCTCTGGAAAGCGTGCTTGATGGTGAACATCTCTTCCCAGTACACCGGGATCCTTCACCTCCACCAATCAATGTATCTGAGAAGGATATGCAAAGTATGCTTGACAGCTGCGATTGTGGCATAGTCAACTCGAAATAATTTAGGGTTTGAGAAGCTTTTAGCTGCTCAGGGAACTCCTATAGCAGCTCCTTCTTCTGGCCAGATCAAAATGGAAATGACTACTCCACGTGCGGAGCCCGCTCGAAAATCTGTGAGTTCTTGAGTTACAATTTTTTTTCAAAACCTCTTTTCTTCTCTTTGTAATTTTGAAGCTATTTATATGCTCCCAATTACATAGGCGGCGCTGCTTGCTGCTTGCTGCTCGCTATTTGTTTTTTCTGCAGACTAACTTTCATCAGTTGTTCAATGTAGTGTCGGTTTTATCGATATGTCAAACCTGGCTGTTTAGGCTCGAGCCAGTGCAAAACGAGTTGCGTACACAGAAGACGATGATGATGAACTGTTGAGTTGAATCGCACGTCGAATCGTACCTGTAGTCAATTATGTCGACGTTTTTGGCCGTGATTTGAGCGAGACCGTAATCTTTGCTCCAGAGCACTTCCTTCGATCTCTGTCGATATGAACTCACGTCTTCATCCTTGTTTTTTTTTTGTTCCTCTCCTGCATCGACTAAATTCTCAAACAGCCACATTCCTCTATAATGTAGAATCTCATATTACCTCTACAGTTTCGGTGCATGTGTATGTAGCTGCTCAAAAATGAACATTGTCATCGTTGCTTTGTCTACATGTTTTTGCATAAGTTCAGAGTGGATCGTCAGTGCGTAATAACCATCGAGTCAGTGCTAAATCTATCCTGACACCGCAAAAATGTAGTTCCTGTGATGAAGTTCAGAAGCCAGGCGAAGTTTTTATACGGTACGTTCATTGTACGCAAGAAGAAGAAAACACAGCACTTCTCGCTATTGAGAAAAGAAGCTTGAGCAACGCAAAAAATAATCCCCGTTTTTGAGAAAAATCGCAGTGCAGACAAGGGGATTGATTGATGTGGCTTGATACGTTACGATACTCAAACGTTTGATATAAAGTGAAAAAATTGAAAGTAGAAAAAATTAAGAGTTAACAAGTGAAGAGATTGAAATGATCAATAATCCTTGGGTCGCATCCTTTACAGTGCTTGTGAAGTGCTGCGGCGTTTGGCCCTATGTATTTGCAGTCCTTTTCAATGCACGCAAAGTAAGCTAGATCCGGCTCCAAATCGCCTCCGTTCATTTCATGCCTAAAGGATTGAGCTGAGAGAGCTAGGAAATCTTTGTAACAGAAACACCAACACTGCGGTGCGTCCAGCAGCATTTGTTGTAACCATCAAAGACTGCGGCAATATGCTGGATTCACTTGTTGATGGGAAACTAGAAAGAAAAAACGCTGAACGAAAGATACTCTAATAACCTTTTGAGATAGATAAACACAAAGTTTTGAAGATGAAGGGAATACAAATACAAACTGGGCGCTGTTCCATATCAGGGCCCCAATATCCAAGGAGTATATTTCGCCCAAACTCAGTCCATGGGGGGTCATTGCCTATTGACCACGAATATCGCACTCTTTTTTGCACAACATCATCAGTTACGATGGGGACGCTGGGGGCTCAAAACTACTATTTGGCTAATTCTTGTCTGGGAGGGTTGTTCGACATTATCATGGATACCTACGTTTTCTGCTCAACCACGTCATCCTTGGTGGTGACCGTAACTTTACCGTATGCAATGAAGTCAGAAACTTGGACAAAATAACAACGACAAAGTTTTGAGCAAAAATTCCGGAATATCGAGGTTTGATTATAACCGAGTTTCAGCAGTGATAAGCCGAAATTCGGTTTCGAATACATTCAACTTGCTATTTTCCAACAACATTTTTTTGCAAAAAGCTATGATGACAAGTCTAGCATGTGAGAATGGTGGTCAGGTGATGTAAAAGAGAGTCGAAAACACAAACTCCTAATTGTGCCTCTCATCGTACACCATCGTAAACACCCAATGACATTTTTAAAGCATAATGTTTCGACCAGCATGGTCAACACTTCCGATAGACTGAGCAACAGCGCCAAGAACTGGTCATATCTTGCCACTTTTTCGACAAAAAGGCAAATTAACATACCGGTAGTCTCTGATGCTCTCGTCCAGCTTGTTTTTTTTCCACGTTTAGCCGATCCGACAGAGGAACACCGCTTCCACCGGACATTTTTCCACAAGAATTGCACTCTGGAAGGTGAGCAATATGAAACAATCACAGAATGACAAACAACGAGCAAAACCGAGACAGTACAGAACATCTAAAAGAGGAAAGGTCCACGATTCAAGCAAGAAAAGAACACATGTTACGAAAATGGAGCACAGCGCTAAGTTCTGAGATGAAAACGCGCTCCAATGACAACGGCCATTTCGCAGTATTTAAGTTCTTCTAATCTATCGCTGGCCGCAGGTGCAATTTCGGCGTACGCGGCGCCAAATGACAGACTGCTGTGTGCGCGTGTTTTGCACGCGTCCTGCAGGAAGCGGAGCAAGCGGATCAAGCGGATCAAGCGGATTAAGCGGATCAAGCGGATCAAGAGGGGTAAGTATGGCGGGTGCCTAAAAGGGGTTTCCGTTTGAAAAGAGCAGCGATTCCTAGCGATGGTCTGCACAATAGAGCGCAATAAACACACGACCAAGAAATCTGCCTTAAAACCTGCCTTCACAACCGTGTTCAATAGATGATTTGCATCGTCTTGCATGCATTTGCGGGACCCATACGAGCGCGGTTGGGCTCCGCCAAAAGGCAGAAACCCAAGAACTGGAGCAGGGAGAACTCAGCAATCACGCAGGAGTCTGACTTATTTAGATTGATTATCCTGAGCAGTAGCTAGCAGTCTGCATGAGCTTCTAAAAAACCAGCTTCTCCGTGGCAGAACTATCGATGTGATCCTCCAACTTTCGCCTAACAGCAGGTTGCGACAAATGGATCAACGGTTGTTTCCATTCACTTTTGGGTCGCACGCGGATGTCTCTCCCTACTAAAACGCAGCGAGACAAGGTAAAATGGCAGGAAGAAATCCTGATAATAAAGGAGACTTTCTCTGGAAGAAAAACGTCAGCTGGTGTTTTTTCTCAATCACTGGTTGACTTCCCTTTTCAAAAAGCATCGTAGCAGTAGCGTTTGCTAAAAAAAACGCTTGCTGGCTAGCAACATTAGTCAATGAATACACAATGTAGCAGGAAGAAAGCAAGTAGGGAATCCGTCTAGCCAATGATGAATGTATGTTTATCAACAAAAACCAAACCGTATCACTTGCACAAAGAAGGATAACAAAAATGGAAGTGAGTTTGTAATCCTCGTTTCTAAATTTTCCAGTAGCGTGTGAAGCACTGGAAAAGTTTTTGACTTCGAAAGTGAAGCACAAAACAGCCTTATATAATCAATATGTAGCTGACAAAACTTTTCAATCTTACTTCTCAGAAAAACCAGAGAGGCTCAATTTTCCGTTCCGGCTATTTTCATTGGCTACCAAAATTGGTCTCGAGAGCTTCCTTGCTCCAGAATCTTCAGTCACTTGATAGCGGGTCCAAATGAGTATTCCCATATCAAGTCTCAAAAGCTAAAAAAATGGACGGTCCACATCACTTGATATGTTCGCTTTGATAGTTCATGCTGTGTTTCCTGCGTTAAAAATATCTCTATTCGATGGCCTCCCAAAGCTAGAGCATTGTAAGTAAGTTCTTCATGGTATAGCTTTGTACTACCACTTATACTCCTCCTCCATTCCTCCTCCAGTTCCGGTGTTTATGCTAACGGCAACAATCACCTCAAAACTTGACCTTACAATAATCAGAACATGGCGATCCATCTGTTCAGCTGCGAAGATAAATGATCGAGTAATGCTATAAAACGTTATGTCTCTTTGTCTTCCCAAGAATCTCATCAAGGCGAACTGCCGAATGCTGTCCGTGGGAAAATCGACAATCACTCTTATTTGGTTCAACGTGATCGAAGCATCATATTTCTGTCCAATATAGACGCTTTGAATTTCTGCACTATTCTTACTCAGTTCTTTTTGTTTTTTTACGGGCATCTTCACGCCGTGTAACGGGAATCTTGTCTTCGAGAAGTTCTAATGCACTTATGCTGAGCTCCCCCTTAAGACCATGGAAACGGTTTTGGGACGCTCATGACTATAACAATGCCGCATGTGCATTCTTACCCCCGAGGGGGAGGGAAGAGAGAGAGCAGCTAGACGGGAGAGCGTCGACAGTCTGCGTTGGTATATATCTTGCCTCAAACATGCATTTGTATAGGTTACATGCCCCATTAATTCATTGCAAGCGGATCCTGGGTGCGTACTCCTTATCGAATCTATTCTTGAGTAAATTTCCACACCTCTTTTACTTGTTGCGCGAATGGTATTCATCAAATTTGGGTAATTGTTCTACATAGGTGAAAAGTAGGTTTAAAAACTTTCTTAACGCAGTAGCACTTTCCATTTCTTGAATTTAACAACCAACTCCTTCTCGCTAAAGTGTGGAACCCACATGCACATAAGAGATGAAAACATTTTGTTATTCAGTGAAATATGGGTTGGCGGCTGATGATTGAACCAGACTGCTCCGTATGCGGCATAAGCAGCGTGCGCTACATATATGGGCATGTCTCATTCAAAGCAGCGTACACGAAGTACATTGCGCACGCAGTGCAGCCCAAACAATCTTTAGGGACCGTGAGTTCCATCGTTGCTAATATTAGTGACTTTCCATAAAACAGAACATGGAAAAGGTGCGTTTTGATTGAATTCAAATCTGTAAATTTGTGATTACCTAGCTATAGCTCATTTATAAAATCGTGATGACGGATTCTACTGCGGACCCACAGGAGCACAAAACCAATACAAGAAGGCATCACCTTTACGTTCAGCTCAGTCACTTCCAGTGTCTAAACCAAGAAAATGCGATTTTCGGAAGTGGCGTGCGTGTCGCGTGCTGTCGCGCCGCCGTCCATCGTCACGATTTTTCAAATGCTTTATACTGCGCTCAAAACGCTGATAGAAGAGATATAAGCCATTGTACGCTCTTCGATTTGATATCAAATTTTCAAGCGTTGGTTAACATTTATAATGATTTGAGGAATATAAAAAATTTACATTTCAAAACTCTCGCTGAATTCAACCAACTCGTGTCTACACTCAATGAATTTTGGTATGTTCCAATCTTGGCACTGCTCTGTTAGAACGTAGCCTGCGCTATGCCTGCGTTCTACCCATGTCATTGCAACTATAAATGTTTCTCCCATTTCTCTCATGTCTCATTCTCATTGCTGTTAAAAATCTTCCTTATCATCCTTTCGTTTTGAGATATACGGGTGTCCCAAAAAAATGTGAACACTGTTCGATCGTTGATAACTCTGTTGCTTTAACGTCTTTCGTCGAGCATGATGCACCATTCTGTAAAGCGCGGTTCAACTTAGATTTGTAGTATGGAGCGAATCATCGATCGCTCTTTGTTACTGTACGATTACGGCATGAACTTCTAGCATGTGGATCCATTGTAAAATATGCCATTTTTTTCAAAAAATCTGAAAAATCGTGTACTAGGGTTTTCGCGCACTCTGATCCCACTACAAAACTTTTTACGAGTATTTTTAACTTCGTTGACGGTGTTGTCACATTCCTGACAAATGCTGGAAATTCAGTTATTACGGTTCACCCGGGATAACTTTGGAAAGAAGCAACACAATAAAGTGCAAATTTCATATTTGAAATCAGCGGCTTCCATTACCATAGTATAAAAATTTTTGGCTTGTTCGTTCTGTTCCGAAAAGAATATGGTTTTCAATGGCCTAAAATTCTTGTCGAAATTCCTACCGTATTTCTACAGTAGTGAAGGGCGATCGACGATTTGCTCCATACTGTAGATCTAAGTTAATTCTCGCTCTACAGAATGGTGCCTTAAAATTGGCGAAAAACATGAAAGCAACGGAGTTATTAACGATCAAATAGTGTTCACATTTTTTGGGACACCCGGTATATTGAAATATATGCCATCCCTCCTTATTCAAAGAGCAAGATAGTTTTATAAAGTACAAATTGATGTAATTCAAATGTAACAACAAATGGTGATACACGATCACCCGTGTGTGCAAAACCTTCATCAAAAAACCCGTGGGTCACAAATTTGTACACCATAAAGTATTTGAAGCTGCTACTCTGTACACTAGGACTATGCCGCCCAACATTCCCAGTTTGCCACTCAAAAGTTATAGCACAAAACCAGCACCGGTGACACATCTGTAGTCAAACCTGTAAACCTTTTTTCAAAAAAAAAAACATTTTGCAAATACAGACGACAGCTTTGATATATCATTCACGCCGGTTTTAGCAATGTCTTTAGATCTTGTCTCGGAGATTATTCATCTAAGTAAGAGGAATCATCTTGTAACGAAGTTGTGATGACTTCGCAGTTCCTTCAATCACATTAAAAATATCTTCTAAGTTGAACGCACTCTTCCTTTGCTGATATGCATGCATCCAGTATAGGTACAAATATTTTTGAATAACTCCGTAAGAATCCCCCCAGACAATCGAAGGGATACCTCCGGCGGGCTATGGCGCGAGTCTGCCACTTCGCGCTCCGGAGCCCTGCCATTTCACGCATTTTTGTGCTCCGGGGCTCTCCCAAAAGTGGCGCACCTCCGGAGCAGAGATTTGCGCGTCGCGGAAAGGGGTCCCATTCATTCACCCTGACGTCACGGTGACGTCACAAACAGGACGAATGGGACCCCTCTCCGCGACGCGCAAATCTCTGCTCCGGAGGTGCGCCACTTTTGGGAGAGCCCCGGAGCACAAAAATGCGTCAAATGGCAGGGCTCCGGAGCGCGAAGTGGCAATCTCCGCTGGGGAAAGCCCGCGATCCTGCCACTTCTGCTCCGGAGGTATCCCATCGACTGTCTGAGCCATGAAACAACGCGACTAATCTCCTCACTTGATTCAAACTTCTGAATTCCACTAGACATTAGGATAAACAGGCATCGTATTCATTTAATGATAAACAGGCATCATATTCATTTAATCAATCAAAATAAAATTATGAGTATAATGACTGTACAAGTTACATGATCTGTCTTAGCTAATCATCCAAAAGTTTTGATAGACTAATTCGTTGGCTTTTATCACCACATTTTCAAATACGCGCCGAAATATATGTCATCCACTTTGCTAGCGTGCTGAGTAACTTGTTTCAACTTGATGGATTTCAAACGCTGTGATTTTGATATCATATACCAAATCATACTTGGTGATATCACGGTGTAGAAAGGTATAACCTGCAACAGATTGTCACACTCTCTAATTCCATTCAATCACTAAATCTTACGTAAGTGAGAAGAAACAGCATTCGAAAAGTAATATAATCGAACTCGTTTACCAGAATGGCAAGTACTCCAGAAAAGACAGTAAAAAAAGCGTAGCATATACTTTGGAATACGGAAAGGGGTAAAAGAAGTTTGATCACCGAATAGTTTTCCTTTAGTTGGTAGGAAGAACTCAAATCGAAACGTTTGCTGAAATGTGATAATGGAAATAATCTTTTCTGCGGTTGAATTTCATCAAAAAATCAAACAACCTCTTGACGGCGATGTGATTCCCAGTGAAGAGAACTGCCACTCCAACCAAAGTGATTACGTTTATAGAACAAAGCAAATAACATAATAATGTTATTCTTTCCACTGCGCGTGGCGAAGATGGGGTACAATAAGGTAAAGCCGAAAACTCCTCTATACGAGTCGTCCAAGAGACGATAGCGAATCCAGCTGTGACCTGGCGTAATCTCATTGCAATGTTACCTGACCTTTTACCAGACTCTTCTCACCGAGAAAAATGCAAAGCTAATACCCAGTTTTTTCCCAAATGTCTCATAACTGCTGCGCTTCCACAACGCTACGTATCGCTCAGCTACCATAGCAAACTGCAATGAGATTAGTTCTTACAGATGAATTCGAACCGGTAATATCGAACCTGCAAAGTAGCAAAGGAGATCATGCAAAAGTTTCCCAAAAGCCGTAGTGTAAAGCATACATCTTTCGGAATCAAAAATTCACATGGTCTTTGCAAAGTTACATAGTTTCCAACTTGATAAGCCTAAATCTTGGACTAGTAACAACTCGGATATATAAGACAAACTGAATATTTTGCGGTCAATTTTACCAATACTAATGCACCCATTAGCAAGCATGATGGTAGTACTAAAGATCTAGAAGACTGATGAGGAAGTTTACTGTGAGATTAGTACCCCTAGACGAGGTGCTCGCTTACAAAATCCACTTTCTCATTCCTACTGCTCCGCTTCAAGCCTTCCACTTGTACAAATGCCTTCATACTTCACATGCAAAACCTTACAAGGACTTACACTCGAGCAATGCAATCTATCCATCTTCGGCTCAATGCTCTGACGAAGTCTTCGAAATGCTTTTCAACACGCTCACGAAGTTACACAATGGTCGACGGAAGTTTAAAGGATGAAAGCACAGGACTACCTGAAGCCTTTACTCAGCTTACTAGCAACGAAAGATCCAGCCCGGCGCATGTTAATACTAAACATGGAAAGTAAGAAACAGTGCTCAGACCCTCGTTACCGTTAGCTGCCTCGCAAGCTGCCAAATGCCCGATGTAGATATGCAAAGTAACAGAAGCCATATATAAGGTTGCGGATGATTTCTGTAGCACTTTTATTTTTATTTCTTAAAAATCCAACAAGGAAGGGCACTGAGTCGCTGGCGGTCCGAGATGATATGCTTCCTATTGTATGCGCCTTGATGAGCTGATTCCAAAACTATCTTTTTTATCTGCTGAGCTCCTCTCTTGAAGAAGCTATGGGCGGTTAAAGTTGTAAAGTTATTGGGGTTCTGATGCGTAGTGTGCTTTGATTACCATCTTGGGAGTGATTAAATGACATGGTTTTGACTGCACAGACTACAAGGAATGCACACATAGACCGAACACATAAATAAGTGTTTTGCAAGTAATTCTTGTAAATGTGGCACTAAATGTTTGTCAGACTTGTACATTCGAACGCTCATAGGGACATTCGAACGCTCATAGCTTCTTCTAGAGAAGAGCTTAGCAAAAACGGAAGTCAGATTTGGAATCAGCTTACCAAAGCGCATCTTATGATATGCATATCATTTCGGTTCGCCGCTGCTGCGACCCTGTATCCTTCCCTTGTAAGAGACTTTCGAATTTTCTGGTGTTTAAGGAGTATTGTGGGGGTGCAAGGGTTCACCAGAGGTATTGTCAGATCCGTGGCCCATGCGCAAAACACACACGACGATTGGAGTATGTTTCATGGACTTTTGTCAACGGTTTGGTTCTTCCAGGTGATCAGGAGAAGACCGGGTGTTGTGGTAATTGGGCAGGGTATGGTCAGGGCCCGGCACGAGTCCGTTTCTAGGCTTTTTGGAAACGAATCCCCTCTGACTTTCGAAATTTTCACGAAGTCCCCTTTGACCCTTGCTCTATCCCCCCCCCTCCTGTTGGTGAATCCTTGCATACTCATCTATGTACTCAGACAATTGCCGGGGGCAGGCGGGCACCGGAAAAATAGATTGCTGATCTCTCGCACCCCGCTCGCGAATTTTTTGGAAAGCAATCAGGACTTTTCGGAAGACGGCTTGCTGAGTTCTCGATTCCTCAGAGATTCAGCAATATATCTGCAAAAGATAAGAGCGAAAAAATTCAACAGGCGGTCTCTCAAAAATCCGCTGACTCAGCAAGCGGTCTTCCGAAAAGTCCTGATTGCTTTGCAAAAAATCCGCGAGCGGGGTGCGAGAAATCAGCAATCTATTTTTCCGGTGCCCGCCTGCCCCCAGCGATTGTCTGAGTAGTTCTTGACAAAACCATTTACCTGCTGCGAGGTGAGAATTTCGCGTATCAGCTCAAACTCTCAAAGAAAACCGCGAAATCCAAGAATTTTGTTTTATAAAGCCCTACATGGTAACAAAACGATCAAAATAGGTCACGAGCTGAAGAAAGGAGGAGAAGAAGAAAGAAGAATGGAAGAAATCATTAAAATGTCGAAAAAAGCTAGAACTGAGAATGAAAATTCAAAAGGAGAGGATGCAGGAAAGTTGACGCTGGGGCGCGATATCTGATAAGGCGATTTTCGAAAAAAGAAGAGGGTAGAAAACGACGGACAGGGAGTGATATAAAAATGTTTTTATGCTCAGGCATAGATTTTTGACCGGGGAATCCGTCCATGCTAAAAAGATCCGAAACTTATGTGAAGTGACGAAAATATATGCTCCAGACGATCTCAGATCGTCTGGTGGTCGTCTGGAGACGATCTAATTTTGGAAAAGGTATTACTTCACATAAGTTTTCAAATCTTTTTACATAATCCTTTCTCAAATAATTTTTCAAGTATACAGTTCAATTTTGGTGCCATATGATTCTGTGTGCGCTGTAAACAAGCAATTTGTTTATTCTAGCCTTGCTTTCAAATCGCGCGCACTTTTCGTCATGCACGATAGAGCATGTCAATCGTGTGATAACCTGTCCGAAAAGCTTGTGTTCGACTAAATGGCGCTTATTTTTTGTGCTCGGCCCGACTCGTCAAAAACGAAATCCCTGCTTTTTGCTCCAAAAACGAAGTCCAGCCTGCTTCCAGACGATCTGTGCCGGGCCCTGGGTATGGTCCATAGAGGCGAAGATAGGGGGATGGCACAATCATGTCCTCACACGGTCACATGAGCCACATATTGCGCCATGTCAGCGCATATTTGCATTTTGACATAGAGAACAATTTTTGAAGATTTATAAAAATCACTTTCGATCTCACCGCATCAAATCCTACATTGCACACAAAAAGAAAAACTTCCGACAAATTTTTTAACTTTTGGTTCCCTTCTTACCTCTCTTTCTTGATATGCTAGCGGCACCAAATGCTACCAGAGAGATAGTGCGAAAATATGTTTCAAAATTAGACTCGAAAAAATTAAAGAAAAAATGACATTTTGGCCGCGCTTACAACGTTGTCGTAAACTTGCTGTAGCCGTGCCCTTGCGGCATCAGTCATACTGCTGTGTATAGCTGCCGCACCCTACACATCGAGAAAATTTGAGGATTCTAAAGAGCTGCCAGAATTTTTCAGAATTCTACAAAAAATCAAGAGATTATCCGACAACGTAATATTAGGTCGTTCAGAATGTAGAATCGTTTTTTTTTATGAGCGCCACATTTCGTGGAACAAGGATTTTCAAGAAATCTTGAATCATCCGAAGCAGCACTTCATTTTCTTTCTAAAGGTAATGAAGTTGTTGCAGTACATGATAAGTTTTTAGATACCAAAACGTGCAACCCGAACTTTTTAAGATGCCAAATTTCACAATTTTTCTAAACCTTCATATCAACCCTCCGAAGGAGTCCAAGTGAAGATTCGATAGAGCAAACCTTAGAAAATAAAGTACAGCTTTTCCCCCTTCTTCTTAGCCCGTCACAATTTTTCAAGTTCTTTATCAAAACCATCAGATTTTGGCAGATTCGGGTTAGCCCCAATCGCATTAAAGGTCAATAATTCTTCGGAAGTTGAAACTTTCAAAATGTTACCATGATTTGACACTAATTTTACGAAGCAAGTGTGAGTTTAAGGACTCGATATATCAACGAGTTTTTCGAGTACAGCTTGAGCGCGTTTTAAAACATGAGTTATGATGGTTTTATCTCCGAAGACTCCATGAATCGGAAACAAGAAACACTTATTGTAAAGAGGAGAAAAAGCTGCATCGAATAGCAACCGAGCTGCTCTCCTTTTGATGTTCTATGAGCTCTTAGTTGACTAACGAGGGAATAATTAGAAGTCGAAGTGGCCAACTCAAGCGCTGCCCACTATTTGATGCAGCATTCAACGCTGATTTCGAATCTGTGTTCCATATCTGCTTAGCGCCTTTGTGGACGAAGTTATAAGCCGTTTTATTGCGAAAAAACTGCACATGAAATTGCGAAATTATGCATATCACTGCCCTTTTAGCTCACCTCCGGGTATGGGCTATATGAAGTAACCTAGCTGCAGGTTTTTGCCCAGCATTTAGCCAAACATGGCACTGTACAGCCAAACTTGCGCTTTGCATGGCGATTTCTCGGCGAAATAACGACTTTTAACGTCTCATAACTTCGCCCACATAGGCGCTAAGCAGATATGAAACACGGATTCGAAGTCAGCGTTTTATGCTGCATCCAATGGTATGGAGTGTTTTTTTATTGACCACTCCGATTTCTGATCATTCCCTTGTAAGTATGGAAATTGGTAGCATCAGTTAAAACTGAAAGTATGAAGAGTTATGGAAGAGAGAGAAAAATTGTTTTGCATGCTGTAGAGTTTGCTCTATAATTATGTTACTTGGACTCCTTCGGAGGCTTGATATAAAAGCTTAGGAAAATTGTGAAACTTGACCATCAAAAGTGCGAGTCGCAAATTGGTAATTTTCCGAGAACTCGCAGAGCGCTGCAAATATTTCATAATCTTTACAAGATGTAATGCTGCATCGAATGCAACCAAGACCTCGTAAAAATGCCACGAGATGTGGCTTTCATTTGAAAAAAGCGCCGTTACCTTCGGAACGACCTAATACGTTTGGCGTTCAACACTTTCTTTAGAAAAGCTCGAAAAAAAATTTTTTTTTTCAAATAAAGTCATTGCAACACACAAATTTTTATCAAAGATTTATGAATCCCTTTACCTGCAGTACGATTGTGACGATAGAGTGTAGAATGTATAACGCCAACATAGTCAAAATCAAAATCTAAAACAATTAGTTGCAACATCAACGCGAAGTAAATTTTCAATTCAAAGAGGAAAAAAGGCTTCAAAGGTAGACTCAAGTTCTATTATGTCATCAGTTTTTTGCCTGTTGTTTTTGAGAAATAGTGGATTGAACACTATCTTTCCACATATAATTAGGTCGTCTTGAAAGTATTTTCGCCTTTTTGAACAAGCGCCACAGTCCGCAGAGCAAAGGTTTACAGAAGCATTTGGAAGCATTCGATGC